TACTCTCCTGTAGCCCACGCTGACCTCAAACTCACTATGAGACCAAGGATGATCTTAAACTTCTGCTTCCACCTCCTAAGTGCTGGGAACACAGCATATGCCACCATGTCTAGTCTTTTGTGTGTGTGGAGGGAACAAACAACTGTGTGCGCACCTAAAACCCCAGCACTTGTGAGGCAGAGGCAGGAAGCCCGGGAGTCTCAAGGCAGCCTGAACCATATAATGAGACTTCATCGCAGAAAGTATAAAAGGAGAAACAAAAAACTTTACCCAGTTTTAAAAGATGTTTAAAACTTTGTCTGTGTGTGTGTGTGTGTGTGTGTGTGTGTGTGTGTGTGTGTGTGTAGCTATGCCCAGAAGAGGGCATCAGATCACCTGGGGCTGGAGTTCCAGGCCTGTGTGAGCTGCCTACCATGGGTGCCGGGAAACTGTGGGACACTAGCAAGCACCTTTAACCAGTGAGTTAGTTCCGGGACAGGCTCCAAAGCTACAGAGAAAACAAAAATAAATTTCAAAAAAATATGGGGGTGGAGAGATGACTCAGTGGGGTAAATGCTTGCTGTGCAAGCCTGAGTACCAGAGTTCGAATCCTCAGTGCTTGTGGAAAAGCCTTAGTCATGGCTGGAAATCTCTGTAATTCTAGCACAGTATTTGTGTGTGTGTGTGTGTGTGTGTGTGTGTGTGTGTGTGTGTGTAGGTGGAGGGACGGCAGAGATAGGCAAACACGCGGAGTTCTCTGGCCAGCCAGCGCCCCCAAATGGTAAGCTCTAGGTTGAGTGACAAAACCCTCTCTCAAAAAACTCAGATGGAGCATGCTTGAGAAAGACTGACATCAACCCCTCTTCCGCACACACGCACACACGCGGGGCACACACACAGGAGCATGTCTGCATGCACACTGAAAGGACTGGAGCCCGGGCAGGACACCCCCAGGTCAAGTTCTTAGCGCAAATGAGATATATTTGTCCCAGAGGAACAGAGGGCAGGAGAAAGAGGACAAGGGAGAAGGAGACAGGAACAAGGGGAATGGGGAAAGGATGTTTGCCGCAGAGGGTCAAAGGGCTGGGAGGAGACAGATGTAGCCCATAGGCGGAGGGCAGTTTATTTTTTAAAATTTTGTTATTTGTTTTAGTTTTTACATCCCGCCTGCAATATCCCCTCCTTTCTCTCCTTCCAGTCCCTCCCCCTCCTCCCCTCCTTCCTCCCAACCCCACTCACTCCTGTTTCTCAAATGGCAGTTTATAAAGGGAAAAGGAGAAGCCCCATGTTAGGATGAGTTGGTTCATTTTGATTTGACATGTTTACTAGGGCAGCCAAAAGAGGGCTTTTGCTTGCTGAACTTTATTACTTGGATAGCTGGACCTTGGTGTAGCACGAAGTCTAATTATTCTTAATACAAACCCAGAGTCAGATATTAGGGGGTGAAAGCTGAGCGATCAGAGAAGCAGTGCAGCCAGCCATTAGAGAGACCTTTGACCTCTACTGAATCCTCAGACCAAAGGGGCGATCCTGTCCTCAGACTGACCAACTACTTCAGACTGCACTGCAGGCTGCATCCTCAGACTGCACTGAGCCCCTGTCTCCTCCTGCCTTATACTCCTGTCTCCAGCCAGCCATCCTCTTCCTGTCTCCACCTCCCCAGTGCTGGGATTAACGGTGTAGGATCACCTCTCCGGGAGCTCTGTTTCTCTTAGAGACTTGAGCAATTTTGTGTAACCCAGGGTGGCCTTGAACTAGCAGAGATCCCGCTGCCTCTGCCTCCCGAGTCTTGGGATTAAAGGTGCGTGCCTCCACTCCCTGGCTTCTCTAGTGGCCTAGCTCTGCACTCTGATCTTCAGGCAAGCTTTATTTGATAGATTGCAAAGCATCACTACAATAATTTATCCAATGAAATACCAATACAGGCACTTCCACGGATAGAAAGGTACAGGGAAATGAAAGCGGCCATTGCCGAGACTGGACTGTGTGCAGCTCTGCTCTGGAAAGGGTTTCTATGATATGGCTGCAATGGCGTGTGCTCTGGAAAGGCAGAAGTTACAGCTAAAGAAATAGGAGGAATGGATTCTTTGAGGCAGAAAGAGTGTGGCCTCTGTCCTGTTTCTCGTCTTTCTATGTGACAACCTCCTTAGCTTTGCTATTGCAGGTACTGGGGCTGGATTGAATCTCGTATGCGTTTGACCAGATGAGAGGCTGCTTCCTAAGTTAATGAATGAGTCTATGTGGGATTCAGGAGGACAAATAGCTGTGTTTATTTGATCAGTGTCGGGACAAATTCTAAAGAGAAGAGATTATGCTTCTTTTGTGGATAGCAAATGAGGCTATTTATTAATATTAAAAATACATGATTATGTTAAATATGCTCTAGTGTGGCTCATATACATTTCTTCCAATATTTATAATTTAAAAGAGTCTTTTAATAGAGAATGAGATCCTTGCCATGCCCGAGTAGCTTTAACAATCAACCTGTGCATTTGAAATCCCAAGCAAAGTAAGATATTCTATTTTAAGAGTTCAATAAACAACTGGGTTCAGTTTAGCTATTGCAGTCTCTAGTAATATTTGATATGATTCAGGAGCTTGGACCGCAGACGAAATCAATAATTTGCTCTTATCAGAAAGGCAAATTTGACAATTCAAAATGAAATGGAGAAATATCGCTCAAAACAGTCTTTATATTTGAAAACTCTCCAAAGCGGACACTACATTGTGCCCCAGATGCTTGCGGTGCGCAGTAATGATTAGGTATGCTGTTATAACAGATCTATCATCATTTTATTATAATTCACAATGGGTCATTCCAGAACCATTCCGTAAAAACAACGGTAATGGAGGCGGACTCGAGGTTAGCCCTTGACATACATGGATCTAATCTAAATGGGAAGTAGAAAAAGACAAGATCTCTTGAGTAAATTGGGAGCATGGGGGACCTTGGGAGAGGAGGGGAGAGGCAGGGAAGGGAGCAGAGAAAAATGTAGAGCGCAATAAAAATCAATAATAAAAACGATTAGCCCTTTATTCTGTGAATTCAAATATTTGTGGTAAGCATGGCCTGTTCAAATAATTATAATGAAAAAAATCAACGTTGAATCAAACACTTAGGCATTAATTTGCTTCTCATTTCTTGGATAAAACTGTATATTGCTAGTTTCAGGATCTCTAATGGAAGTAATCAATTCAGGTTAAAAACCATTCCCACCTATGATAATACAAAGGGGCTTCCAAATACATCAGCCATCTGCTTAAGAAAGCATGCCAAAGTTTTTCTACTTGGGCTGTTCTTTATTTATAGATAGCCAACAACATTGTCAAGCAACTGTGGCTTTGGGTCCACTAGTGTTTCAAAACAATGAAGACTGTTTAACATACAGGTCTTGATACCAGGCAAACAGTTCCCTTTCTTCTTTATCCAGTTCGGTGTCTGATGAGGAGTCTTCAATTGCCAGGATTTCAAAAGATGGGCTGCTGAAGATGACCTTCCTCTCCTTCCCTTCGAACCTGTCTGCCTGTGCTTCCTGGGTGGAATTACAAATAAAAGCAGACGGTTTCGCATTTGCCTTTCACCACTTTGTATTTTTATTCTCTACTTTTTACTTAGCTTCACCCTCCACAAATTTTGAGCAGAATTGAGAATATTTTCATGTATTTATTTAATATGCGTGAACGTGAAAACACACAAGTACCATGGCACAAGTGTCAAAGCCAGAGGCAACTTTTGGGGAGTTGGTTCTCACCTTCCATCATGTGGAGTCTGGCTCAAACTCAGGTTATTAGCTTTGGTAGCAAGTGCCTTTAGTTGCTGAGTATCTCGCCAGCCCGGCAAAAGTTTTAAAAATCACACGGTAGTGCATCAAAACATGTTCATTATAAATATCCCTTCAATGTGGAAGTATAGAGGCAGATTTTATATAGCATAGCTCTTTTATGGTTAAAGAGAACCTCTCCAGCCTATAGCTCCAGCTACTCAGGAGGCTAAAGCGAGACTATCACTCGAGCTCAGAAGGAGAGGCCATCTTGGACAACACAGAAAGACCCTATGTCTCAAAAATGACAGAGGTAGGGATAGAGGCCAGTGTATAGCACCTGGGAAGCTCTGCTTTAGTTTTGAGCACACACATCAGAAGGCTTTCATTCTGAGAAAAGTACCCGCAGAGACACACTGGGTTGAACCTGTGGGACAATAAGTCACTCTATCCTTTTTGCCAGCTTTTGCTGATGTGGAGTTCAAACAGCGGGTGCTTAATAGAATAGTTACCAATACTGTGCGAGAATTCTTTTTGTAAAAAAAAAAAAAAAAGCTTTAGCCTTCTTTTTTATTTAATGCGTCTGGGTGTTTTGTCTGCACACGTGTCTGTGTGCCACGTGCGTGCAGTGACCTTGGAGACCAGAGTGGGGCATCAGATCCCCTGGAACTGCAGTCAAAGATAGCTGTGAACCACAGTGTGGGCACCGGGAATTGAAACAGTCCTGTCGAAGAGAACACCAGTACTCTTGACTGCTGAGCCCTCTCTCCAGGTTGCTTCCCCTACCTTTTTTTTCTGTTTTGAAATGGTCTTGCTCGGCAGCTCAGGCTGGCTGTGAGCTCAGCAATATAATCCAGCTGGCCTTGAACTCAGGCTCTCCCTGCCCCTGCCTCCCCACGACTAGAAAGCACTAGAAAGCCTGTGGATATTTAAGAGCCGAAAATGCAGCTGCTTTTCGTCTCCACTCTCAGGAGGCAGAGGATCTCCGTGAGTTCGAAGCCAGCCTGCTTTATACAGACTTCCAGGGCAGCCAGGGATACACAGTCAAACAAACAAACAAACATATAATAAAAGAAAACGGGTGTTACCAGAAAGTAGCTTCCCACTCCCCAGGTATTGGTATGCCAAAGGTGTTTCAGCCTTGAACTTGCATTTCTTTGTGCAAACAAAGTTACGAACAGGCAGTTTGAAGGTTGTCCAAGCTAGTGAGTGAGTTCCCTTCTAGTTAAATTTGAGTTACCTTGGGGGAAGCCTTGTCTTGTTTAGCTGCCATATAGGCTTTTTTCATTTTTTCAACCTTCTTTTGTGCCTGCTTGGATCGGCGGCCCAGATGTTTCGCTTTACCTTGCTCTTCCCAAGGCTGGTAAAAAGGACGGATGGTTGTAATGCATGGGCACCTAGAAGACATTTGAATTAGAGACAGAAACAAACAAAAAGAAAAGAACACAAAGCTCCAGGTAGCTCCAGTGGTGACTCTTGCTAACACACAGGCTTTCGTTTCTATGGTACTGCCCTAACCCTCAGCAGGTCCCAAAGAAACTGCTCCGACTCAATTCCTGCTCTTGGGGGTTTACTTCTGGGAGAGCCCAGCCTAGGACTTTATCCAAAGATGCTCTTATGAAAATATTTTTCTTCTTCAGTTGATTTAAAATTTGGCTAGCTGTCTGGCTTCCAAATGACTCATTCTTGGATAATCAGTAGCACGAATCCAAATAGCAGGGAGATGAAGGTTACGCGTGGCAGCGAGGAAAATGACATCATTTATTTGACCTTGGTGGTAATAGGGGTAAGTTCTATATTCAGTGCTCACATGCATGAGCTAGAGAAAATCTATTTCATGATGACAGACCACGTCTTGAGCCAGGCTATCTGTCTGGAAAGTGCACAGCCTTGACTGGAAAATAAAGGAGCTAAATTACATTGTCGGGCCAACACCTTTCATCTCTGCTCTCGAGAGTCCCCAGTGTGTTCCCTTGCCAGTGTCTTCTTTGTGGTCTAAGGACCATTTCTCATTGCAAGTATATGTGTGAAGACATATTGCCGGCAAGTCCCCTTCAGCCTTAGCATCACTTTCTCTTTCTTAAGAAAGACAGATTAACTTGTAAATAAGCTGGACCGGGTAAGTCTTAGTAATGGACATTAAAAGCAATCTGATTGGAATAATAGCGTTCTGTCCCTGTCGTTTCAGCTCCTAATCCATATATCTTGTTACAACATGGTCATCCAAAATATGAATCGGTTTGCTTGTTATTGGTAAGGAAGGGAATCATGCCATTGCAATTTATATACAACTGATCTTAGGCAATGGCAGCCAGGAGAGTGAGAGTCCAATTCGAGCTTTTTTTTTTTTTCTTTTGGTTTTGTCGAGACAGGGTTTCTTTGTAGCTTTGGAGCCTGCCCTGGAACTAGCTCTTGTAGACCAGGCTGGCCTCGAACTCACAAAGATCCTCCTGCCTCTGCCTCCCGAGAGCTGGGATTAAAGGCGGGATTAAAGGTTTGCACCACCACCGCCCAGCCAATTGGAGCTTTCAACAGGAAGGAAAAAGCCTTCAGATCTGGGCCGCACGGAGGGAAAAGCCTTCAGCTCTGTGCTGCACGGACAATGCGAGCCTTTTTGGCTGCACTTAGGAAAAGAAAAATATCAACAGTTGCACGCAGGCCCCTCTCCCCAGAGAGGCACACTTAGCCCCGGAGTCACGCTACTGTGGCCCACCACTTCCTGACCTAGGAAGGCTCCCAGGTTGTACCATGTCTTATGTTCTCTTGAAAGCAAGCGGTGCTGGCCTGAGGCTTCTCTTCGCGGCGGCGGCGGCGGCGGCGGCAGCAGCGGCAGCAGCGGCGGCAGCAGCAGCAGCAGCAGCAGCAGCAGCAGCAGCATCTCCGTGCGTGCCTGCTCCAGTGACAGAGTCACCAGCAGCTCCTTACCATTGCACTGCCTTCACATTTGCCGGGGCATCCCGAGGCGCCCTCCTTGGTGGCACAAGTCACCACCTCAGTACCAACTGGTCTTTCTGTTAGTGTTCTGCTTACAACGCTGCAGACGTTTGGGACCATCTTTCCTAACTCAGGCTTTCCCATGTGCCCTGTGGTTCTCTTTAGCCTACTGTGTGTCAGCAAGGGAACATTTTCAGGAATGCTTTTAGTACCGTAAACTCCAGAAAAATGGTCTCTTACCTAACTTTAGAAACAACCTCTAGCTGGTGCTGGCGCATCGCTTCTGTTAGTGGCTTCTGCACCAAATATTTCATTTCTTTTTGTAAACGGTTCGAGATGACTCCGGACTCTGCGTAATCAACGATGTCGTACATCATCATCGTTTTGGGAATGCTTCCGAGGTTTAATCTTCGCCACTGGTTATTCTTGCCGCCAGATGATGCAGGGGTATCATCCAGAAGACTGCAGTACTACATGGGGGAAAATGCAGAATGCGCAGTGGTTAGAGCTCTCTCCTCTGGCTTTTATCCCAGCCGGACGTTTCCGTTATCTGTGTGTACCTTAACTCCCTTACTGGAAGGCAGGCCCCGTGCCGTGAAGCTTCCGTTCCCACAGCCCCACGTTCTCTAAATGTTTCCCTAAACGCAGCAACACTGGCACACACTGTTTTAGGGATAACGAGCTAATCTCTGGTGCTAAGTGGAGAATTTCACCGTCTTCATTTTAATACTTGTAGGAATCTCGCTTTACTTTTTTCCAATTTAAAACGATATCAGGCAAGCAATTTTAAAAACACAATTTACACATTCAATTCAACAATAGAAATGTGTATTTAAGAGATAGGTATAGGGGATTAGGAGGTAGAGTGCTAGGAATAAGGCTTTTAGGGCCTACTACATAATCTCAAACTTTCGTGTGCACCCACTTTCGCATGCACTCGAATGCACACACGCACACAAACACACACACGTACCCATGTGGCATCACGCAGAAGCGTCAGCTGCCACCATTTTGTTAAGTCCTACCAGTCTCTCACCGAGAAGCAGCTGATTCCAGTTCTCATTGCAAACCTTTGCATAAAGCAGACTCTGCAGCTGGATCTTCCGTTCGTTCACAGCCTACTGCACTGGTGACAAGTGTGCCGTCATCCTTAGTGACAAGTCATGCCCTGTCTCTAAAAACACCAGCGTTTGCTCACTGTGAATCCGGTAACGAGTTCACATACAGACAGCAAATACGCAGTTCCGTGGCCTTTTTGTCTCACGATATTTAAGCCCATGTGACATTTTACAAAAATGGATAATCACAAGAGGGAATTGGGGGCCGGAGAGCCGGCTCAGCGGTTAAGAGCATATGCCGCTCTTGGAAAGGACCGAGTTAGGCTCCTAGCGCTAGCTCGTGCCAGTTTGGCTCACGACCATCTGTAACTCCAGCGCCCTCTTCTGGCCTCTGTGGACACCTGCACATACGTGCACATAATCTTGCCCCCCCCCCCACAATTAAAATAAAAATGACCTTTTTCTTTTCAAAGACAGACTTGGCCAGCAGAGAAACCAAACGTGGTATCCCTGGAAGAGAAGCTGGAATCCAGTGCAAAGCGAGTTGGAGAAGAAACGGGTAGCTCTACGAGGCCGCCAGGGCTTAGGGAACTGGAGATGTTGGTTGCATCGCCAGAGGGGCTTGGAGAGGTTGAACTCACCAACATAAATGGTTGTGACCAGATGAATGCAGTGGCTCTGGCAGACAAAGCTTCGTTCTGGGGAGAAATCTAACAGAATTTGCAGCATATACAATACGAAGACTAAAATGTCAGCAGCCGAGTCAAACTTAGGAGTGTGACAACTGACAAAGACACAGCAAAGACAGTTTGGACCCCATTGTAACTTCCACGAGAACAAGAAGGCCAGCATCCTTCCAAGGGCTCTTTAGGTGGGCTGAGGGTAGAACTTAGGGCCGTGTGCATAGTGCTCTACCCTTCTACCTTTACATTTTTTAAAGTTTATTTTTAACACTAATTTTTAAAAATATTTATTTATTTATTATTATGGATACAGTGTTCTGCCTGTTGGATGCCAGAAGAGGGCGCCGGATGGGTGTGAGCCACCATGTGGTTGCTGGGAATTGAACTTGGGACCCCTGGAAGAGCAGGCAGTGCCCTTAACCTCTGAGTCATCTCTCCAGCCAGTTTTTAAAAAATTGATACCATCTTGGCAAGTAACTTAGGTTGGCCTTGCACTTACTCTGTACCTCAGGCAGGCTTCGAACTTGTGATCCTTCTGCATCAGCTTCCTAAACATCTAGGATAATAGGCCTGAGCCACAGGTTTCATGTTTTTTTTTGATTATGCTTTTTCCCCTATGGCTTTTCTTTGTTTTGACTGAGATAGGGATCAAACTCAGGGCACCGTACCATTGAGCTACACCCCCCGATCTGTTATACTCGCAGCTTTATTGAGGTTCACGTATCATATACTTCACCCACTTAAAGTAGTCAATTCATTGTTTTTTTTAATGTCTTCTCAGCTGATTAGTGTATACAAAGAAATGAAACTTTCACTCTCAACGTTTTTAGATGTATTAAATAATACCATAGTAAACAGCCATGCACCAGCACAGCTAGCTGTTTTTAATGTGCCAACAGATTTTCTCTAATGATTATTAAGTTTGCTTTGTGGGGCTGGGGACATGGTTTAGGGATAGCGTGCGTGCCTGTCATGCAAGGAACCCTGGATTCAAGCTCCCTGCTGAAAAAAAAAAATCAGATCCGCACACACTGGAAATCAAACAGCCAGGAGAGGTGGCACAAGAACACTTGGGATGTGGTGACTGGGAGATTAGAAGTTCAAGGTCATCCTTTGGTTACAGAGCCAACCTGAGGTCAGCCTGGACTACATGAGACCTTGGCTCAAAACAATAAAAAAAAATGTGAGCTGTGCTTGGTATAGTTTCAGCTCGGATCCTCGGTTATTTCTGCCCTACAGCACATGCACAGGGAGAATGCCTGTGTTTTTGTTTGTCTCAGACCTGTCCACGGGCTACTCTGCCGCTCACTCACTGTGTGACCTTGGGCCAGTCTTCAGAACTCTCTAAAGCTTCATTGCTCTCATCCCTACAGAGGGTTGCAGAATTTACAAACTTAAAGAGCAAAGGAAATAACAAGCCCGGAAAGGTCATTCATGCTCACAAATAATCACAAATAATTTTCCAGTGTAAATATTTGGGGCCTTCTGTCTGGGACCCCAGTCCTTGACACATTCACAACCTGTGCGTTCGTGACTCATGTCCTTGGCAAAGATAGCTGACATCTCTAGCTTCCTTTAGTTTCTGATCTAATTCCCTAGTCTCCGAGGCTCAGCCTCTTAGAAGAAAGAAAACACAATCAAGAGCTCTAAGGCTCTATATTTACTTCAGATGGCAACGTGAGGCTGAGGCTTCCAAATGAAGAAGCTAAGGTCACATAGTTATTACATTAGGAGTCAGAGTACTGGTAATTTTCGTATTGCCAATGTTTGCCTCTTTGGATTGTCAGTAGAAAAATGGGAGGGAGCGTTACAAAAACATTTATTATTATTATTAATTATTATTATTTTATTATTATTCAGTATGCTGCTTAAGTGCCCCAGTTCAGCATTTCTCTGTCCAGCTATGCAAACCAGAAACCCACGAGTCATGCCAGATGGATTCCTTCCATTTCTCTCCCTGTCTGTCGCCAGGCCCATAGCCTTTACTCTGAATCTCGCGTCTGTAGACATATATTCTTAAACCCACCATTTCCCCTGGAATATCAAGAGCCTTTGAACAGAACTCTTGCTGGTTCCTATTTTTTTTTGTACCCTGCAGCCAGAGGTAGCTTTTCATTCATTGGCTTAAAAAATGACATTTTGTGGGGGCTGAAGAGATGGTTCAGTGGTTAAGAGCACTGACTGCTCTTTCAGAGGACCTGGGTTCCCAGCAACCACATGGTGATTTGCAACCATATATAATGAGATCTGGTGCCCTTTTTTGGCATGCAGGACATTGTATACATAACAAATAAATAAATCTTTTTAAAAATTATATTTTGTTCAGTGTATGTGTGTGTGTGTGTGTGCATGTGTGCTCAAGCATGCATGGCATGTGTATGCTGTACTTCCAGAGGCCGGAAGAGAGCAGCATTGGGTCTTCTCAGGCTGCTGTTAAAAGCAGTTGTGAATTGTCCTGTCTGATCTGGGAACTGGGAATTGGGAACTGTACTCAGGTCTTCTGGAAGCACAGCAAGCACTCTCAACCTCTGAACCATCTCTCTGGCTCCCCAAATGCTAGGTTTTTTTTTAAATATTTTATGTGCATTGGTGTGAGGATGTCAGATCCTCTGGAACCAGAGTTTCATACAGGTGTGAGCTGCTATGGGGCGCTGGGAATTAAACCTGGGTCCTCTGGAAGAGCAGCCACTGCTCTTAACCACTGAGCCATCTCGCCAGTTCTCCAAATGGGAAATTTTATGTTGCATGTATTTTACCACAATTAAAAGAATTATGAGCTGGGTGGAGGTGGCACACACCTTTAATCCCAGCACTTGGGAGGCAGAGTCAGGCAGATCTCTGTGAGTTCGAGGCCAGCTACAAAGTGAGGCCTGGTCTACAAAGTGAGTTCCAGGACAGCCAGGGTGGTCCTTGGACTTCCCACAGGGCAGGGAACCCTGATTGCTCTTTGGGCTGACGAGGGAGGGGGACTTGATGGGGGAGAGGGAGGGAAAGGGGAGGCGGTGGTGGGGAGGAGGCAGAAATCTTTAATAAATAAATAAATAATAAAAAAATAAATAAAATAAAATAGATCTTTGCTTGCCCTTGAAAACATACCTAATATGACTACAAGTTTGATTACACTAGGTGATTAACTTCTAAAAAAACAAAACAAAACTTATGATTCTTTCTTGTTAGAGGATAGGGTCAGGAAAGATTGTTTGTTGATTTTTCAATATCTATAATTCCTTACTCGCATGTAATCTTTCACTGTGACAACATCCATGTGATCAGCTATTTTGAATTTCTGGAAAAAATGCTCATCTTCCATAATTTGTTGATAAAATTTTCTTTCCCCCATTATCTTGTAAGCATCAGTCACTGCCTAGAAAGAAAGCAGATTTTCAAAATAATATATTTTAAATCACTGACACACATTTTCTCTATTTTCTGACAAATACAGCAAATATTGTTCCTGTCTTTTACAGTCTTGCTAGTAACAGAAAGGCTACGTTTACAAAAAGGAAATTATATAGCTGCCTTTGGTAGGGAGGAAGGGAAGGGGTTAAAATAACATTTGGCCAAGCACTTACTAGTAATCCTCCTGCCTTAGCTCCCTAAATGCTGGGGCTACAGGCATGAGCCACCATGCCCAGCCATATAAGGATTTGTTCTGAGACACAGTCACATGTAACCCAGGCTGGCCTTGAATTTTCTATGTAGTCAGGGATGAGCTTATACTTCTTCTTGCCTCCACCTCTCAAGTGCTGGGATTACAGGGATGGATCTTCATGTCAGGTTTATATAGGTATTTTAAAACCATTTGAAATTTGTCCACATAGATACTGATGCATAGTTTTAAAATAAAACCACAGGTATAGTTGAGTTTACAGTCCTGAAGGGACCACATTTTCTAAAAAAGGTTTTAATTTGGGGCTAGAGAGATAGTTCAGCAATTATGAGCCTTTGTTTTTCTTCCAGAGGACTCACGTGACAGGTCACAACCAGGGGAATCTGGTGCCCTCTTCTGGCCTCTGTGGGCACTGCACACAGGCAGTGCACAGACATACAAGCAAACAACACACCAAATCTTAAAGATTTTATGTTTATATTTGATTATGTGTATATGCATGTGAATTTTGCAATATGAATCTAGTGCCCATGGAGGTAAGAAGAGGGCCTCTGATCTGCTGGGGTTGTAGTTACAGGCCGTTGTAAGCTGCCTGTTCCTGCTGAGAACCGAACTAGTGTCCTCCACAGGAACACTATGTGCTCTTAACCATTAAGCTTTCTCTCCAGCCTGGACCATAGTTTTTAAGATTTTTTTTTCTTTTACAAAAGGTTCTTTTTACCTAGGCGGCGGTGGTGGCACACACCTTTAATCCCAGCCCTTGGGGTGCAGAGACAGGTGGATCTGTGAGTTCAAGGCCAGCCTGATTTACAGGGCTAGTTCCAGGACAGGCTCCATAGCTACACAGGGAAATTTTGTCTCCAAAACAAAACAAAGCATTCTTTTCATTTAAATGAAAACAAAAGACACCATACTCTCATTTGTGCATCAGAGGAAAGAAACGGGGTGCCCGAGGACCAAGAAGACAATGTGCTGCTGGAATTCACAATCTTTTCTGTTAGCTAATTCATTGTTTCAAACGGAAATGGCAGGTGTGTTGCCTTGCTTCTACCTCCCTTGCCTTCAGCTTTCATTTTCAGTAGTCAAAGAAAAGCAAATAAAGGATTTCTCCTTCTTTCTAAAATGCCAACAGTTTGCATTCAAGGAAAATGTCTGAGAGGCCAGTGAGAGAAAATTCATAGACGGCACAGAGGCTGAAGTTCTTTGTCTTGGCTCTAGTCACACCAAATCCTTCCACATGCATCTGTCCTGCAGATACTAGCTGGCCACACTGGGAGAGACTTAAATACTGCCAGGCCTCCATAAGTATGTGCAGAATCATCTAACACTGTTTCTAAGGTGGATCTGTGCTTCTGGCCACAAAGGGTCTGCTTATGTGGAGGGAGGCTGGCAGAGGAAAACTCGAGTCTCTTTCTATTCCAGAATCAGTTTCGTTCTCTCTGGACCTCTGAATGTGCTATTGGCAGAGCACGGAGGCTGTGCCCCCCGCCCAGGAGGCCATAAGCGAGAGCTCGGTCAGAGTCAAAAGCCAGAGCTTCTGTTCCTTTCACTAAAGCACGACACAATAGCTTGCCTTCACATATCTGCCTCTCTAATTCTCTTTTATTATCCAAAATAGTCCCTTTGTATTTTGTTTTGACTTCCAAAGCGTTGGTAATGCATATGGAAGATGAAATGTTTCAGTGGTCATATTTTATTCTTAGTGCACCAAAGTGAACAGTTTAATGAAAATCAGAGGAGCTTTTCCATGAGCGGATTATTTTTGCTTTTCATTTCACCAATTTCTTTGCACATCATAGACCTGAAGAAAAGATGATATTGGTGCATCTCTCTAATGTGTTTTATTACAATGTCCTGCGGATTTTAATTAGCCAGCCCAACTGCACTAAAGGTAAAAACAAATCCTGGCACACTGAACAGATATAAAACCATGCAATTTCTGCTCTCACGATTTCTTTAGGAATATCTATAGATTACTTCAGCTCAGATGACCTAGAGAAGGCATGTATTATCAGCTCTTCCCTCCACTGCTATACTCAGCCACTACCAGTGATCTTTCCAAGACCCAGTTTTCTCATCCATATATTGCCTGAGATGCACTGGGTCTATTCTAGTCCCGTGGGCAAAGAAAACCAGGCCCAGAAGCATTGGACAAGCTCTCTGCCTACTTGTGAAAGAGCGTATTAGGAACGTTTCTGTTGCTGTGGAAAATACCATGATCAAAAGCAGCTTATGGAAGAGTTTCCTTTGGTGTACAGCTCCAGAGGGCGACTCCACAAATACCACGGGAAACATGGCAGCAGGTGCCTGGAGCAGGAAGCTAAGAGATCACATCTTCAATAGGAACCTCGAACCAGGGACCAGGTACTTAAACATGCCAGCTTATTGTCTGTGTGTCTCTGTCCCCCAGCAGGGAGTTTCAGATGTATGCCACAATGGATACTGTGATTTATCTTACATGGATGCTGGTGGTCAGGACTCAGGTCCTCATGCTCATGAACACAAGCCCAGAGGTGTCTGAAAAAAATAAAGAGTGCTGCCCAATAGTCAAAATGTTCTTTGTCAGAAACTGGCCACATCCAGCCAGTTGCTCATTTTTTTAAAAGATTTATTTATTTATTCATTTGTTCATTTATGAATATATTATGTATACAGGGTTCTGCCTGCATGACAGAAGAGGGCATTATAGGTGGTGTGTGCCACCATGTGGTTGCTGGGACTTGAACTCAGGATCCTGGAAGAGTAGCCAGTGCTCTTAACCTCTGAGCCATCTCTCCAGCCCCAGTTGCTCATTTTTTGCTGGAAATTCCCACTTATGGAAGTAGTAAAAAGTGGTATCCTTGCACTTGACTTGGAATAATTCAGTATAGGCAGATGCAGAATAAATAAATAATAGCTCGCTAACTGCTGGGATTGTTTCAGCTTTGAAAAGTATGCAGTATGGTAGAAACAGATTAGCATTCAAATCTCACTTATACATCTCCAAGTCTCTCTTCAAAAGCTAACTTCTCTCTCTCTCTCTCCCCCTCTCTTTCTTTCTTTCCTTTTTTTTGAGACAGGGTTTCTCTGTATAACCCTGGCTGTCCTGGAACTTGCTCTTTAGACCAAGCTGCCTCTGCCTTCTGAGTGTGGGATTAAAGGCATGCACCACCATGCCCGGCTTCAAATTCTAGCTTTTTCCACAAAGTGGGAACAGTGTTTCTCAGCTTAGAGGACGGGAGGAGGGCCATGTGAGAGAACATGTATAGTGTCATCCCAGACCTCCGGAGTGGTTAAGAACACAGACTTTGCTCTCAGTTCTTTCACTCTCCAATTGGGAGATTTTAAGTCAGTTACTTGGTCTTTTTATTTATTTATTTTTGCATGTGTGCTTTTATTTTTCATTACTAGGCATTATGGCATTTTTATAACATATATATTTCCCTCCTACTCCCACTTCTCCATTAATCTCTTTTCTACTTTCATATACATTCTAAGGAGTAAAGATAGATTAACAAAACGTACAGACTAGTTTTTATGGGAATTAAATGAAATAATGCACATTCGAGATTACAGTTGATAGAAACTGATCAAGTTGGGCCAGAGGGACTGAGGAGATGGCTTAGTTGGTAAAGTGCTTACTGCCTAAGTGGGAGGACCCAACTTCTGATCACCAGCACCCATGTAAGATATCCTACGGTATCCATTGTGGCATACATCTTGAAACCCCACTGCTGTGGGACAGAGACAGGCAGATCCCTGAATCTTACTGCCTAGTTAGCTTGGTTAGATTGGTGAGCCCAGGCGGGCAGTGGTGGTACTTGCCTTTAATCCCAGCACTTGGGAGGCAGAGGCAGGCGAATTTCTGTGAGTTCGAGGCCAGCCTGGTCTACAGGAGCTAGTTCCAGGATAGGCTCCAAAGCTACACAGAGAAACCCTGTCTCGAAAAACAAACAAACAAAAAATTGGTGAGCCCATGTTCAATGACAGACCCTGTCTCAAAAATCAACATGGAAAACAAATGGGGAGGACTTCCTCAACGTTAACCTCCAGCGTGGGTACTCCTTCACCTCTAAGTGATCAAGCAGGACTGACAAAGACAGCAAGGCTGGCAGAGCACTTGCCTAGCATGTATGAAGCCCTGAGTTTGATCCTCCGAATTTACTGTACAAATCAGATCTCGTGGTGGACACCTGTATTAACAGCATAGGAAAGCAGAAGGAGAATCAGAAGTTCCAGTTTGGTTACAGGAATTCGAGGCCAGCCTAGTATATATGAATCTTGCCACAAAGAGGGGAAAAGAGCAGGAGGTGGGGAGGGGAAGAGAGCAAGGGAGGGAGACAAAGAGAGAGAGAGAGAGAGAGAGAGAGAGAGAGAGAGAGAGAGAGAGAGAATAATCAAGTAACAAGGGTAGCTATTAATGTTTTTCTTATATGAAAAAAGTTTAAAAGGACAGGCATTTTTCAATATAAAACAACGGTTGCTATATGTCAACACTTAAGGCTTGTCAGTTGGCTCCACGGATCCTTTTGTAGCCTGTAAGTGCAGTAACTGGGTTTTAACACCATTATGTGAGATGTGCCTCCTTTAACACCATTACATGTAGGCACAATATTGTCTGACATGAAAAAAAAAATGCCAGTTACCCAGTGGTGCTCCGGGCCATGGAATAGGAAGTCTTTTAGGGTAGTCCTCATAAACGATTTCTTGTCAAAGATCACTGTGTCGGGGGCTTGTTAAAATGGATATGCTGGGCCTGGGGGTCTGGTGTGGGA